ACCGCCATCACAGGTTCAAAACATAGCCGATCCAAGTGGCTCCCTCCTCCCTGCATAAGTGCACTTTGTAGGGTATCAAATAACGTCTTCTACGCCCTGTCTAGTGCACTAGATATTGGCTAATTAACCATTTCAGATGCAGCCGCTGTCAACACGTTTGGCCACTTCCTGGTTGGGGATTAGTGGTGAGAGGTGGGGAAATAGAGGTGCATTTGTAGCAGTTTACATTCATTGAACTGCTTCAGTGAGCTGTGAATAATCGCAGTGGATAAGCCTTATGTCAGATAACGTTAAGGTAAGTGACATAACAGCAGTGTTGTAAGTGGAAGTGCTGTAACCGGGACATCCCTTTTTAATACCCGCTCTGCTAAAATCTCAGCTATATCCTTAGTTAGCCTTTTCCTTAATCTAATGTGTTTTCCAGGAAGATAGTTAAGCACACGGTTCTGTCATTCACTGTGTATAAACACTGACATTTCACTGAGTGGGTGCTGCTTTTAGTTTGCATTTCCTCATCAGTGTCACACAGATCAATAACCAGTATTACAGGCTCCATACCAGAAAGAAACCATGAGAGAGATCATGAAAAGCAAGTCATGGTTAAAATACTGCTTTAGTGAACGTTATATTCGACCCTGAGACTTGTATCTGGTCATATGATTTGCATGGGAAGCCTGTGAGAGGACATCCGTTAGCTAAGCTGAGGTTTGTTGTTTGTTTATGGTTCATTAACATGGACGCGGCAGAGCAGAGCAAAGCAAAGCAGAGGGACTTTCTTTGTTTTTATTGGATTATCAGAGAGACTTTTAGCACTTAATAATCTTGGATCTTGGAGTGGTTTAGGGAATTGATCAGCTACGACTTTAATGAATTAAAATCAAAGTATATTTTGTCAGAAGCAGCTGTTTGATTGTTAGTGGGAACTCAGCAGTTAGTTCAGCCCATGTCAGTGAAAGGAGAAAGCAGAACATGAGACTATATTAAGACCAGTACAACAGCTAATGAATTTAATTAGGTGAAGTTAATTAAATTCAAAAACACATAAAATGCAAACCAGTGGCGATCCAGACTTTAAGGCCAATAACAGTCCAACAGCTCTACTCAGTTGCTGTTCCTCTTTTGGCTGCTTCCATTAGGGGGTGGCCACAGCAGGTCATTGGTCCACGTATTTGATTTGGCACAGTTTTTAATACCGGATGCTCTTCCTGACACAGGAGTTATCTGGGCTTGGGACCGGCACTGAGAGCACACTGGCTGGGGTTGGTTCCCTGGCCAGAAATCAAACCCGGGCTGCAGTGGTGAGAGCGCTGTGGCCTAACCACTAGTCCTCCAGGGATCCACAACAGCTCTACTCAGTAAGTGACACTAATTTGCCGGCTGTGTATATGTGTGTTGCAGAGTGCACCATGCCGAGCACCCTCCTGTGGGCTGTAGATGTGTATGGGAGGGTTTACAGCCTGTCGACAGCAGGTCAGCAGTGGGAACAGTGCCGTGATGCCCACCTGGAGTTCAAACGCGTCACAGCTGCGCTCCAGTGCTGCTGGGGCATCGCCTGTGATCACAACATCTACCTGTGCGTCCACGCCAGTGAGGTACCAATCCGCTTCCGCGAGGAGACCTATGAAAATCAGGTAACCCTCAACCAGCGTGAGCACCGTGTACAGTATGTGTACAGAAAGTCGTCTCATTTGTTTGTGTGTTTGTGGCAGCGATGGAACCCGGTGGATGGTTTCTCAGACCGCCTGTTGCCTAGTGATCGCTGGCAGTGGAGTGATGTGACGGGGCTGCAGCATCAGCTGCTGGACAGCTTCCAGCCTCCGTCTGAGAACTGGGAGTGGGAGGCTGACTGGTACGTGGACGAGAACTTTGGAGGAGAGCCCACGGAGAAAGGAGTAAGTGAACATGCTGGATCAGCTGCTGATGCGCTTGTAGCTGTAGCTCATTTAATGCACATTTGCAGGGTTGGACATATGCTATTGATTTTCCGGCCACTTACACTAAAGACAAGAAGTGGAACTCTTGTGTGCGCCGCCGCCGATGGGTACGCTACAGGAGGTACAAGTCACAAGACACCTGGGCTAAGGTGTGTGTAATTGGGTCTTATTTTGTTGGTTTAATGTTTGCAAGTTTATTTGGCTTGTCAGAAGTTATTGCTTATTTTCTTTCTTTGTTGTGTGTCACCAGATCCCCTCAGAGCAGACGGGTTCCCTGCCAGACCCATTTAATGATATAAGCTGCGGTGGTTGGGAGCTCACAGAGGAGCCCAGGGGGCGTATTTCTCTATGGGCTGTCTCTCTGCAGGGGAGGGTCTGTTTTTACACTTTTATTATATGGGATTTTTAAAAATAATTGCTAGTTACATAAAATAAGACTAATTGTATAAGATGCATTTACATTATGTGCACTCTCGCTGTGTATTGGTGTAGGTGTGGTTCCGGGATGGCATCAACCACTTTAACCCCGAAGGCTCGGTGTGGGAGGAGGTGTCTACTCCAGGCGAGGTGGTGCAGATTAGTTGTGGGCCAGCAGACCTTCTTTGGGGGGTGCTGTGGGAGGGACATTTCCTGGTCAGAGAGGGCATTAGCAGGGACTGCCCAAAAGGTGAGTTAGTATGTACAGCGATACATTTAGTACACTGTAATATGATTAAATGTATGATATGAATGTGTAGGTTATTGTATTTATGCCATATTAATGTGACAAATATTTCTGCATTACAAGGCACCACATGGGTAGTAGTTGAATCACCAAGCCCAGAAGCCGGAGCTATACATGTAGCAGTGGGCGTCAATGTAGTGTGGGCTGTGACAAAAGATCACAAAGTAAGAAAATAATCAGAGATTAGTCACTTACTGAACAGCCCTTTATTCTTTTTCATTCACTGTGTTTGTTACAGCTGTCAACATCTGACATTGTTTATTTTTTTCCTGCCGTTTTATAATAGGTCTGGTTTAGGCGGGGTGTGAATTCCCACAATCCATGTGGCTCAGGATGGATTGGGATGGTTGGGGAGATGGTGATGATTAATGTGGGCCTCAATGACCAGGTTAGACATTAGAAATTTACTTTTAATGCACAGTTTTGTAGTTCAAGTTTTGTGAACCCCTGTTTTGAGATAATATTATTAATTATAATTAAAATTGAGTTTCTATGGACTAAATAAACCTCTTGGAAATAGTTTATTAAGAAAGAATACAATTTAGTCATTAGTGCTCTTGGTGTTTAAAATTTTTTTTTGTTTTTTTCTCTTGGTCTTTTTTTTTTTTTTTTTTTGCTTTCTTTCTGCTAGATATTCTTTATATAAGGAACCATTAAAAGAATGCTACAGCATTTTTGTAATCTCATGGGTTCTGTATGTGCAGTTACCACAGGAATTCGAAACTGCAAACTGAAAGGTCTTAGGATGAGACAGCCATGAGATAATGTCTAAATAAACAACAAATTTCAAGAACAAATTTCCAACACTGGATTGAAACTGTAATAATAATAATAATAATAATAATAATAATAATAATAATTGCAGATATTTACCGCTTTTCTTAAGGTTTTGTGATATCCATGCACCATCAGGCCAAAACTGTTGAAATTATTTTCTGTTGTAATTGCACACACACTATAGATGTGGTAGATAAAAGTTCATAAAAAAAAAAAAAAATGCTGTAATATTCCTTTATTGTCCATTTTAGCTATGCAGAACCACGCAGGGTTGAATTACTCTAGTTGTGTGTTCACTGGTCTGGCTTTCCAGTGTCACCTAGTTTAATCTAAATCAGACCCATATCAGTGACTGAATACCCCACAAGCACCACAGAGCTGCAGTATGTATGCAGTATGTATGCAGCATGTATGCAGTGGCCCTGACGTGTTTCTGACCACGTTGCTATGTTGTAGGTATGGGGCATCAGCTGTGAGGACCGGGCAGTGCATTTCCGCCAGGGTGTGACTGTCAGTGAGCTGAGTGGGAAGGCCTGGAAGGCTGTGTCTGTGCCCAGAGACACCGAGCGCTCTCACTCCAGCACCAGTGCTAGCAGCCTGCAGAGGTGAGTGAAGGACAACAGTCTGGTGTTGTTTCAGTGGCGAAAGCTTGGGGGAGCTGTCAGCACGCTTTGTGTCAGCACGCTTTGTTTCAGCAGCGACACTGATTGGCTGACCTCCAGAATACTACATGAAAAATCAACAGCTCTGGCCACCAGCTGGTGTCATTCATAACATAAGGTGATGTGTTGTCTGATAATGCCAGTTTGAAGTGTCTTAGTGTGCAGCTATAATGTGTGTGTGTGTGTAGACTGCCATCCTTATAAGGAGGTAATGCTTTAGCGTCAATGATATTGCAAGTTGTCATATGGGAATATTTAAACAAAACTATTAAAATGTGTTTTGCAGTGCCGGGTGTTTTTTTGGGGGTGAGGTCCGCCTGCAGTCGCAGGACTCTGAAACAGAGAAAGCAGCAACAGAAGGAATGCCGCCCTCCTCTGAGGCTGATGAGGCCCCTAAAAAACGAATCCCCAAAGTGACCAGCGACAGCTTCATCTCAGAGCTGGTGTCTGATAGAGAAGGTCAGATTGGGCAACGTGCCCTCACACAGGCCGCGTCCATTCCTGAGGAGGAGAGTACGGAGGGAGATACAGAGGGAAAGGACAAGGCTGTCACGAATGTGCTGCTTTCCTCTAGCCAATCAGGACAGCTGGACCCCCAGTGGAGCAACGTGGACCTGGAGGAGGCTCAGACACACCCGACCATGGGAACCGGTGGGGATGCTGCTGATACCTGCAGCCTGTCATCTGTAGCCACCTACAACCTGGGCATGGAGGAGCCATACGGGCCTGATGATCACCCCTTGTGGGCCTGGGTTAGTGGAGGAGGCTGCTGTATTGACTCCCACTCCCAACTCCCCTGGTTCAATTCCACAGGTCAGCTGCTTGTCTCAGATGTTTTTAGTCTTAGCGATGTTTATTTTTCTTTATTTTGTATTAGCAAAATTTAGGATTTAGATATTGGGTGGTGGTGGCGGCTCAGTGGTTAAGCCGTTGTCCTACTGATCAGAAGGTTATGAGTTCAAATCCCAGCACCACCAAGATGTCACTGTTGGGTCCTTGAACATGGCAAGGCTATTAATCTTTTACTGCTCAACTGTCACTTTGTGTAGAAGCATCAGCCAAATGAGTAAATGTAAATTATCACCAGTTGGAGCAGTGATAGCCCAGAGATTTAAAGTTCTGACCCTGCGTTTTGGACATTGGATATCTTCCAAAGTTGTGTCACAGGACAAACAATGATTTCTTCATGGAGATTAAATGACAGGGGCACACTTAGTGGTTAGCACTGTTGCCTCGCACCTCCGGGGTTGGGAGTTCTGTGTGCATGGAGGTTGTATGTTCTCCCCGGGCTTCAGGGGTTTCCTCATCCAGTCCAAAGACACGCGTTGTAGTCATTTCCAAATTGTCCAGAGTGTGTGTGCGATTGTGCCGTGTGATGGGTTGGCACCCTGCCCAGGATGTCCCCCGAGTCCCCTGGGATAGGATACAGGATAAGCGGCACAGAAAATGGATGGATGGATTAAATGACATGTCTAAATAGCTCCACAACTCCCAGAGTCATCCAGTAAGAGGCACAGCACTTGTAAGAAAAAAAATTTATTCAGTTTTAGAGCAGCTTAACACTTTAAATTCTTGCCTCATTATTCCGAAAGCATATTATTCAGTAACTACTATGAATTATTCAGTGACTATAGTAGTGACTATGCTTAGTTTACTTGTTTTTAAGTTAGGGTCATATTGTTTTCCACAAAATGTAAACTTGGCTAGTCCTTAATACATTAAGCTGTTGCATAGAGAACAAGAAAACAAAAATTTATAAAAAAAATTTTTTTTGAAAAGCTAGGTGTCCATGAAATTTTGACAGGGTGATGTACATACATCCTCTCTATGCAGGTCTGGCCTCCTCTATGCAGGCCATGTCGCTCTCCATCACACCTGCGCAGACCGCAGCCTGGCGCAAGCAGATCTTTGAACAGCTCAGCGAGAGGTCAAAGAGAGAGATGGAAAACTTCAAACATTATGAACAGGCCATTGAACAGGTGCTGCTCTCAATGAATCTAACCTAAAAGGTGAATGTGTTCTGTATTTACTTTATCTTTCAATTTTGTTATCTTCTCTTCCTCTTTCACCTCCTTCAGTCTGTTTGGGTGAAAAAGGGCTCCATGCAGTGGTGGAGGGACTGGAAGCCTCACAAGTGGCTGGATGTGCAGTTTGCACTAGAGCAATTCTCAGGAGCAGAAGGCAACAAGGATGGCATCCTGTTCATATATTATACCTTTAATGATGAAAAGAAGGTGATTTCCACACAAATGTGTGAGCGTTCAGTGCTCCTTAATACTCATGTTAATAATAAGTATCCCAAATACATTTTTCAGTAAAATTAAAGACAACAAGGACATACAGTCTTACTACTGGTATACAGCACTGCAGGTATTTTAGCCAGGTTATCTCCACAACCTGGCAGAAAATTTGAGTTGAATACCAGTATCCAGTGTACATGTAGCCTACCCTACATATAACATTGCAGCACATTGCCTAGTTATGTTAAGAAACAGCAGTGTAACAGTAATGTAGTGTTTATAACCAGTGTCCTCTTTCTTGCTCCTCCCCCCAGTACCTACATGCATTCATTAACGAAGTCACCATCCTAGTACCGGTGCTGAATGACTCCAAGCACACGTTTGCTATCTACACGCCAGAGAGGACTAAGCAGAGGTGGCCCATCCGCCTTGCAGCTGCCACTGAGCTAGAGATGTATGACTGGGTAAGGAAAGACAGTGCTTATAAACAGTGCTTCTAATTTTACTCACCGTTAATTAGTGTAATGAATAAGTGAGGTAGGAATACTATAGTTGGTAAATATTCAGTTGGTGATGTTCTTTTGTCTGACAGCTTTACACCTCTCACAGACGTATAGTTGTGACAAAACTTTGACTAAACCCTGACATGTGGGTTTAGTTGTTATTGTTATTGTGATGGTTTAGGCAGGCATTCCACAACCCACAACGACCAGCAGACCGTGTTTATCTTGTTTTTTGAGTGACACTATGTATTTTCTCTTAGCTGGCCTTGCTCAGTGTGTCCTGCTGTGATTCCCGTGGCATCCAGGGTCCACCTTCCAAACAGGCCATCTGGTCTGTTACCTGCAAAGGAGACATTTTTGTCAGTGAGCCCACACCAGGGCTGGAGGCCTCTCCTTACCCTACACCCTGTGACCAAATGTGAGCCGTTTCTCTGTTTCACTCTCGTGTGGCTTTTCCAAACTGCTGGACTGCATGCTTATCATTATTACGTGTAGTGTGCTTGAAGAAGGCTAAAAGTCACATTGCACAGTTCATTAGCTACAATGCAATTGGTGGTGATTTTTTTTTACAAATGACACCTGTCTAGTTTTGTTAGAATAACAGCAGTATTGATTTTTATGCAAAATATTGGTTTCAAGATTATCAGCACAAAATATTCAATTTTTTTCTAAATTGAGTTCAGTCTCCAGAAACTCAAATGCTTTTGACCCAACTATATTCTCAATATACTGCGCAAAAAAAGGGTTGAACATCTTTTAAAGTACCATTTTTTTATTTTCCATGAGCAAAATCAAAGAGCTTTCAACACAAGCGACACAGTCAGGGCAATAATAAAGTCTTTTTGTAATTTGCCAGAAAGACTTCACTATTCTCAGTCAAATAATAAGGAGGACAGTGCTGAAGGCAAAGAAGAGCTCCAAATATCCACAGTCCAGAGTGATATAGTTTAGTTTCACAATCAACAATTAAATCAGTGTTTAGCACAAAAAAAAAAAAAAAAAAACTTCCTAAGAAAACATTTTGATTGTTAAAATAAAACCCTTATGTTTTTAATGTTCTTATTAAACATATGTTTAAGCTTCAAATATCACTTATGATTGAAATATCATTCAATCATATCATTATGCTGATTTTCATGAAGGGTGCCAGTAATTACACAGTCAGCTGTGTATAATACACAACCCAGACCCTTATGTAATGACAGTTGATCAGTGAATACATGTGGAATGAGTATGTAGAGTTGTCTCCTAAAAGCAAACATAATCAGAATATTGTAGAGAGTAATATTGGAACATTGTACATTAACTATGCAAGGAACTACAGCAGCAATGGAGCTGTTCTTAATAAGCCGTTTTTAAGGTTTTGGGTGTGGTTGAGCAGAACCATTTACCTGACATACTGTATATATATATGTTGGTCATGGTGTGACCACATTACCACATTTATTGTTTTAAGGCCTAATCAGGCAGTTTCATTATTGGGCAGGTTCTGGCGCCAAGTTGGAGGGCACCTGAGAATTGTGGAGTGTAATAGTCTAGGAGTGGTGTGGGGAATCGGCTATGACCACACAGCGTGGGTCCACACGGGTGGCTACGGGGGAGGCTTCTTTCAGGGTAAATGAGCCTCTATGATTATTGTTTTCTTAACAAAGTATTTGTGGTGCATCCAGACAAATCGCAGACATATCTGTTCATTAAAAAAAAAAATTCTTTCATATCCAGGCCTTGCCAGCAGCACAGATAACATCTACACACAGACCGATGTGAAGAGTGTGTATATTTATGAGAACCAGCGCTGGAATCCTGTGACTGGCTACACAAACAGGTAACTGTCCCACTCTGCACAGCTGGTGATGTAATAGTGTGTGTGCACTCCCTGTACTTCTTGTGTGTATCCTGCAGAGGGCTCCCTACAGATCGCTACATGTGGAGTGATGCTTCAGGCCTCCAAGAGTGTACCAAATCCAACACCAAACCCCCCTCTCCTCACTGGACATGGGTTTGTGATGATACTCACTAGCTATCAGTTTCCTAGACTAAAATTCTGATAATATGTATTTATAGCATTTGTTTGAGAAAGCTTTGGGCTCTTTTTTTTTTTTTTTCATATTATAATGTGAGGTAAAGATTATGGTAGCGTGTCTGTGTGATTGGCAGGTGTCAGACTGGGTCATCGACTATGGTGTACCTGGAGGAACAGACAGAGAGGGCTGGCAGTATGCAGCTGATTTTCCAGCGTATGTTTACAAATATTCATTATATTACATCTGTGCAGTGTAATGTGATCCTGAAATTGGCACAAGCTGTTTTTGTTAACAACATTATTTGTTTTGTCAGGTCATACCACGGTCATAAAACCTTGAAGGACTTTGTCCGTCGCAGGCGTTGGGCCAGGTATTATTAGCTCTCAGTCCTTATGTGTGTGTGTGTGTGTTTGGATATTGTGTACAAAAACTGTACTATTTAGTAAAATATTTTATGGTTGAAAAAGATTCTTAAAATACCTGTTGAAATAAAACCCTACTTATTATTCCTCATATCATGACCCTAGTATTATAAGGTTCTATATCCCATTTATTCCTAATCTACATAGAACCTTATAATATATACTGTAGGTCATGATGTGTTTAAGTTTATAATATGACTTATTACATGCATTATTAATTTTAGGTGTCGCAGTATACAGTACACACAATAAACTCTGACTGTTCTATCACTGAATTTATTTTTTGTTTTTAACCAGTTATCACCCAGTTTTTTCATTGCTAATTCCACCCACTATTGCACAGCAGTTACCAGTTTGGGATGGTGAGGGTTAATACATACGTCCACCCACTGCATATTTTCAAACTGTTACACATGCATTGTCATATTGCAGCTAAACACGCTTAGAGGAGAGTGTTAACTGTGCCATTCTTATCAGTGGAGCATTGGGAGAGACCATCCATCCCATCCAGAGAGTATGGCAAGTTGACTCTGGGTGGCTAGCACATTGTTGTTATTTAAACTTGCAATGAAAGGACAAACAGTTGGGCAGTCCATGTCACTGTGCATTTACATCTAAGGTGTTCTGCTTTTCTCTGTACAGGAAGTGTAAACTCACTACAACCGGGCCATGGCAGGAAGTCCCACCCATCCCTCTGAGTGATGTTACAATTTTGCCATGTGGCCCAAAGACCACAGTGGAACAGGTGCCTTTGTGGGCCATCAGCAACAAGGGAGACGTGCTTTGCC